AGCTTTGCTGTAATAGGATTTGTTTGGCAGTTGTTCTCTGTCTCTCTTTTTTCCCTCTTTTTCTCCTTTCTGCTTTCTCTTACCCCAGCTATTATTGCTCTACTTATCATTTCTTTCATTTATTCATCTTTATTCCTGATCTCTCCCTCCCTACTCTGACACTTCCCTTCCTCTCCTTCGTATACATTTCATTACCTCCCTTCTCTTCTGCTCTTTCTCTCTCTCTATCTCTCTCCTTTCCTTTCATTCTCCCATCCCCATTTCTTCCTCTCTCTCTCGCTTCCACGGTCTTCCTCTCTATCTGCGTATCGCCCACTTTCCTTCCCGATTTCTTGGGTTTCCCTCCATCCCTCTTCTTCTGTTCCAGCGATATGCGAGGAATCGTTATGCAAGAATAATTCCACACAAGTCAGAACAATGGATGGTCTTGTCTGCACATGGCAAGAAGTATTACCGAGTGCTTTTTCTTCTTCTTCTTCTTCTTCTTCGTCTTCTTCTTATGGGGCCTATATTTTCTTCCGGTCTTGAACACCAAGTAAAATCCCTTTCTTGAAATGTAACTTTCTTTTCTTTCTTGTCTTTCTTTCCGTTTGGTTTTTGCTTTTTTTTTTCCTTGGTCAAATAAACCTCCTTTTCCCGAAGCCCGTATGAGATGGTCCCAAAGTATTTTTTTTTCTTTTTTTTTATGAGATGGGAGATGGTCCCAGTCTTTTTTTTATTATTATTTTTTTTAATTTTATTTTTAGTCCTGCGGTCGCCTTGTTTCTTTTGTCTGATTGTTCATCCCAGAGCGTCTTCAAGTTAACGTCTGCGGTACGAGGGGATTATATTCCGACATTTACTGGTCGTTTGTCATTCTCGCGTTTGCCTGAAGCCTGTACTTTGTAGTAAGGTACCAAAATGTGTGGGACATTTTAAGGAAAGCTCCGTTTTCTTAACTATGATTTTCATTGTTATTATTACTACTACTACTACTACTACTACTACTACTACTATTATTATCATTATTATTACCATTATTGTTATCATTATTATTATTGATATTATTATTACTTTTATTAAGAAAATGCTCTGGCTGTTGACATTGACATCATTATTCCTGTTAGGCAGGCTATGGCAAATGACAGGAAATCTCTCTCATATATCTCCTCAGGAGCCTTGCAGTTCCTAACAAGGCAGTCTTTTGTACAGCTCCGACATCACCCGGTACCTCTATTTTTTCACTCCCCTGCGAAATTCTTTTGTCACACTTCCAAGGGCACCTACGACCACAGGAACAACTTGCACCTTTCTCACTTGCCATAGTCTTCCAATTTCCCTTCGCAAGTCCTGGTATTTCTCCACTTTTTCTCTTTTCTTTTCATGTACTCTTCCATCGGCGGGCACTACAATATCCACAATTATAATGTTTTTTTTCCTTCTTATTAATCATAATCTGGCCTCCTTGCCTCACCTTGTCAAACACTCACTAATCCAACTATGGGGGTGACTAAGTCATAAGCTTTCTTATAATATATCCATGCCATAGCCTATCCTTTTTGTTCTTCTGTCAGAAAGTTCTCTCTTTCTAAATAGGTGTAGATCTCTTCAGCTATCATTCCAGTCAAGAGCTTCACATTAGAGGGAGGCACGTAATAGGGCGATAGTTTTCCACTGCATTACCTTTCGCAGGGTCCTCTTGGCACAATACTGTACGACCATATGGTAAATATGGTAGGTAAATGATCTTCACCCTCCAAGATCTTATTCAGCTGACAATTCTCATATGAAGGTCATTGGAGTTTTAAATCCAATATCCTTGGATACCGTCTTTCCCTGGAGCTCTCCAATTCGGGATCTTTTGACACTGTTTACATTTTCGATATTAATTCTGCACTTTTTCCTGAAGGTGTTCGCTGTTACTCTCATTCTCTATATCCTTTAACCGTCCAGCATCTCTATTATGTTCTTTCTCAACACTCCAAACATCACTCCGAAACCTCCTACTCTCTTCAGCATCTGGCACATCATTTGAACTATTCCCACCCATGTTCAGTCCCTTGTATATATTCTTTTGATCAACACTGAACTTCCTGTTTTGCCTGAATTGAGTGATTCTTTGCTCATATCTTTAACTTTTGAGCACTTTACTATCATTCTCTGCTTTAGTTCTTCGATCAAAGTTTTAAGCCCCTTTCTTTTAACTTGTTCTCTTGTTTGAATCTTTTAATATCCCCACAATGCTACGTTTCCATCTCAGTTCATCTTTCTTCCTATATATGGTCTTCTTCAAACCTCTCTGATCTGCCACCCACACACCTACAGCCCTGATTAGGTCATTCGTTTGTGTGACGTTGCTAGTTTTCATGAACTTGATTGCTCCATTAACTTTTTTCTCAGTTTTACATGTTAAGGTCTTTTTGTCAACTTTACAACAGCTGTTCTACCATCTGCCACTATTCCTTTCAGCTGCTCAATAACCTGTCTCTGTTCTGGGTCAAACTCAACATTGTTGATTTCCGCTCCATCAATATCACACCTCGTTGCATTAGCCTCCGCTTTCCTTCCCCATTCATATTTTCAATCTGTGCCTCGTCTAG